GAACAAGTATAAGCTAGTTTGGGATTTGGGTGTGCGCTTAAACGGACAAATACACAAATACAAATGTCAGAATGTCTTGGTGAGTTTTTGTGTGAACATCAACTGTTGGGAAAGTAATCAAATGTCAGTATATTAAATCTTATTGTAAATCAAACAACAAAAGAAAATAAGAAAATCATTCTCCTCTCTTCACTAAATAATTTTTGTAACTTTAATAAGAATGAATCAATGTATATTTAAGTGTTTTTTATTTACATTTGATCATTCAATTTCTGTATAGTAGACTATTATTTTTAGTAGACTAAATTGTTTAGTTCATTTGTATTGTATTTGGCCTATTGTTTTTTTTTTTTATTGTACTACTGATGGTTTCAACTCACTGTTGTTTATTGACAGTGAAAGTGCTCTGAAAGTTGGTTGGTGGTCAATTTAGGGTTTTTATGAACACACTGACCATGGCCTGACAAAGTTTTGCTCCGGGCCCCCAGAAGTCTAGGACCGGCACTGAGTATAATGGATCCATGCATTTGGTCTTAAAGTGACAGCAGCCTAATGCTTCTGTCTGTGTTCTTATTGTTAATCAGAAACACTCACTGCTCTTGACTGAATAACTTTAGTAACTTTAATCATAAGGATTTGCCTGTATTTATTTATACAGTGAAGACTATGCAGTGTTATTTTACATTTGATTACTATATTCCATTTCTGTGCCTAAATAGTACTTTTAGACCTGTAAAACTTTTAGTGCTATTGCTTGTAATTTTTTATTAGTTATTATTTTATTACTTCATAAATTCAGTTTAAAATAAAGCAATAAGCCCAAAGAAGCCGTGGTTTACAGTGAATTTATAATGACGCGAAGCGGAGTCTAAAACCCCCTTAGCTGTTATAAATTCACTGTAAACCACGGCTTCTTTGGGCGTAGAGTAATTAGCCTTTTTCACAAAAATCGGAAATTATGTCAGCGCAGGGTAAAGTTAGTTCTGTTACAGGTCTGCACCCATAGATATGTATATATATATATATATATATATATATATATATACAGGTGCATATTAAAAGAACCAAAGACTTAAACTACTTCAGTCTGTGTGCATTGAATTTATTTAATACACGAGTTTCACAATTTGAGTTGAATTACTGAAATAAATGAACTTTTCCATGACATTCTAATTTATTGAGATGCACCTATATATCTGTCTGCGCCTATTATATTAGTATGCCCTTTTCTCAAATAATGCTTCTTACCTTTTCTGTTTTGTCTGTTTTCCAAGTTGTTGTTATATAATCTACAAAGAAAGAAAATTTTACTTGTTTGTCACTCATATGCCTCTGACTTGCGAGATAATGCGCTCAACATAGAGCCGGATGGTTTCTATTCTCCATCTCCGACATCCTTTTTATGTAGTCTTTTATCTCCGGTACATTTGAGCGCATTATCTCAGTTTACTCTGCCATTTCCCTCGAATCACCACATCATGATAAATTACTTAAAAATGACAACATTTATGTCCAGATGCACAATTTTTTCCAAGAGTACATTAAACAATTAACTGAGTCCGGTTGAAGCATATTAAACTCAACACAACAACGTAATCGGATACAATAGGAATAAAGTCATGAATCCGAGTCATCTCTTGTTTAATATGTATTTCCCAGGGCTCATTATACAACGTATATTTAAACCATCACGTTAATAATGCAAAGGTGAGCAAGTAGAAAATACAATATTACTTTAATAATAATAACAATAATGATAAAAGCAAAAAAATTTCACGTGGAGAGTCATAATGCACAGCCAGCACCAAACGGACAGAAAGGCGAAACTAACTGAATTATAACTGCCACCATTTAGAATTAAACAAACTTGTATTTGATGACCCGAGCTGAGGCAAAAAGTTAATTGTGAAATGTTTGTGCTTTGTAGAGTAATGTACCTGCAGTTCAAGCATTTTCATAATCTCTAATTTGTATAAAAAACTTTGATTCTCGAACTCATTCTTGTTAAGTACGGCCGCAGTTGTCACCGGAAAAACGTTTACCCTGCAAGCACCAGAAACACGGAAGTGTGAAAAAGGCTAGCTTCGAGCGCGGCTCAGCCAATCAGAATCAAGGACCGGAACTAATAATCAAGCTTCCTTAAGCTGTTGCATTACAAACTTACAGAGCACCATCTAGAGTCGTACGCTTACACATTTCTGTATCTTCCTAACAATATAAAATATAAATCAACACCTAAATTGTAAAAACACAAATACATTCAGGTCAGATGATTGTATTCCCCTTCATTTACCTAAACCAAATTCAGGCCCTGGCTTTGAGTTTCAGGACTGTCCTGCCAAATACAGGACAGGTGCTCTCCCTACCCAAATACCACACTATTTTCATAATCGAAAGCCCAGCTAATCAGATCTGAGCTGGTGATTTCAGCAGATTTTCTTGCTGTTTGTGTGTGCCGTGTGCTTGGGACGGTCAGAAACCACTGGTAGATGATCTGAATATTTTTGGATTATGGCTATTGGCAGAACAAATCGCTGCTGTCGAGTAACACATTCTCAGACGCAGACAGGACAGTGTGCTCAGTTAACTAAACTAGTTCACTGTTAGCTAGAATAGGTTTTTAAAAGTGAACAATTATTGGACTATGACATTTCCCTTCCGGTTGGCTGCTTCACATGGTGATCATCATTTGATCGTGTATAATACTTCTACACATTTGGCAACGTTGCGCAGCAGAGTCACATGTGCATTTAGTAACAGAGCAACCTGAGAAATGTTTTCAATGTTAAGGCCGCATCCGAGGTGTTACTGATGTCGTGATCATTCCCAGAACCGTGTCGTCTTCGGAGAGCTCTGCTGTGTGGCTCATTTGCTAAATCAAAAGTGTTTTCCCAGTGGGTCTGTTGAATCATTCTTCTGCCCAGATGAGACCAGCGCTGTGAAAGCATGCAGCATAAATGGGTCGTGACCTCAGGCCTGTGTCTTCCAAACACAGCCCACCTAAAATAGCGTTCGTGACCCGTCCTCCGGCAGGTTAAAAATACACTCCAGCGAGAGCAGATAGCTGAGCCGTGCTCTCCAGGGGCTTTATTAGCTTCAGGAGAAACCTTCAGAGAAACACGAGCTGCTTCTCCATTATTAGACGCCATAACCAGAGACAGCTACCAATTTTGGGAGTCATCCAGAGCTCTCAGCACCAAGAGTTACTGAAGCATTCATGCTTTTGTCAGGATTACATTCTGTTTAGTTTTCATTTTGTTTCTGTGTTTTCTGTGCCTCCTTATTGTTCAGTCCTGTTTTCTGCTTGTTTGTCTGCATGGTTGGTAATTAGCTGCACCTGTTCATTATTTAGTTGCCCTTGTGTATGTAGCCCTGTGTTTTCAGTGAGTGTTCGTCATCTGTTGGTGTGTTTAACTAAGTGTGATTGTCCTGCATGTTTTGTTTTTTGTGTTTATTGTGACAGTTTTCACACATAGTTCTTCAGTCCATCCACACAAACACATACAATTGTCTTTTCACACATTGTACAATTTTATTCTCCATTTGTCCAGATGGGTATATCTCATGAAAACTTCAAAAAACGTCTGGATTAAACTCCAAAATGAAAAGAAACTGAATTATCCAAGAAAATTTATATTTTGCAGTTATATTTTGTGACATTTTTCCCCTTTGACAATTAATAACCTCCCTAGCCCAAAAAATATTTTCTCATTACTGTAATGCAAAAAATAAATAATCAATCAATCATATTGATCATTTAAACTCTTGTGTAATTATAAATCATGGTAGTATCATTATGGCCAATAAAACATTGTTAAAAGTTGCTGACAACATTGATATCCCTTCTGAAAATCATGCACACTTTAGCATATTTTTAAAAAGAGTACTTATTACAGAAATAATGTACTAGAATATAAAGGAATTTACTTTAAAAGTGTGAACTGAATGAAATGTTTTTGGATTAAATGAAAATGTGTTATTGTTAGATGCAATCTGTTGAACTTAATGCTTTTTGACCCGCCTAAGTAGGAGTTATGTAATTTCATAATTACTTCTTTTGTCTTTGAAATATGCTTAAATTACTGCTGAATGTACTGACAAGCACTTATGGTAACTTAAATTATATATTTTGTCATTATATAATTTCTGTTGAAACTTGTATGTTAAATACACTTGTAATTACACATTTGTAATGATGAAGCTGCAATTTAGAACATTTTAAATATATTAGCTTTTAATCTAATATTGAATAACACACTAAATTTCAAATGATAATCAAGTGTGTTTTAGTATGTTAGTCAACACATCAAAATAATCACAGATTAAAGTGATCTTTTCATATAATTTTATCTGCAAGTACAGTTTTTTTAATAGTATACATTCAATACAAAAGCACATTAATTATTACAAAAAAAAGGCTTTTTCCGCCATAAAGATATTATGTTATAGTTTATTTGAATGTATAAGAAAAATGCATTTAACAATGGTAGCAGGTCACCATTTCTTCTACACTTTAAACATTTTAAATATTTTTGCAGTTCGCTTCAGTAGTCCTGCAGTGACAAATGCATGAACAAATATTCCATGTAGTCTTTCAGTTAACTATAATATTTATTGTATTAATTAAAGCACATTGAGGTATAGTACATCACACTACAGGACACTGCTTAACATGTCACTACCGCATGTTAGAATTCATATCAGTTCAATATAAAATAATCAAAAATAAAGTTCCTGTTTTGAAATCCGAATGGGTCAGAATGGGTTGCGGATGCATTTGATGTTAACTCTGGTAGCACAACTTCATGCAACTTCATACACGCCAAAGAACATCACAGCATCACACAGTCTGCATTTAAGCTCTAAATATAAGAAAACTGGTTTAAAGACAGTCTGTAAGGAAAGTTAAGTTTGAATAACTGCTGTCTGCAGTATATATAGAGAAGCATGTGCGTGCATGTGAAGGAAGGTCAGTAAATGTGTGTGATTAATGTCAACAGGAGCTGGATTTCTTTAGCAATCCTTTCGCTATGAGGAACAGGATGGAGGCCATGCATAGAAATCTTGTAAGTCTGACTTCTTCAACACCGCGTCAGTGACCATCTTTCACTGATTAGAATGAATAGACCTCATACAAGGATGTTGAAACACGCTGTTCTTTTGAAATGGGTTTTTATAATGAGCTGTTTTCTTAGTCATCATCAGTAGGGATGGCAGTTGTAAGCAATTCAGTGATTCGGATTCTTTCAAGATTTTTAAGTAGCACTTCTCACAAATGAACTTTGTTGTAAAAGAGTGTCTTTCACTGTACAAACAACCAGTCACACAGATGAACTGGTGACTCCCGAGTGCTCGACTGAATTCAGCGTCCCTGAGATGTTTTTGTAACTGTTTCTTTCAGGAGAACATGGCGTCAGACCCCAACAGCCACTCGTATTCCTCTTCCTCCGTCATGACGTACTCTAAGATGGGAGACGAGCCGGCGAAAGTCTTCCAGGCCTCGTCTCAGACGCGCTGTGCTCCTGGAGGAGTGAGTCCTGCTCTCAAACACTCACACCGCAGCACCTCCTGCGGATCAGTGTTATGATGGGTGCTTTATGGTGTGTTCAGATAAAGGAGACCAGGAGGAGTCTGAAGGACTCTGAGAGCGGACTGCAGAAGATGTCCATCGCCCATCACATCCAGGACAGAGGCCACGTCATCGAGAGGAAAGAGAATAGGAAAACCGGAGAGAAGGAGCTCAACCAGGACTTCCAGAACATGGATGAAAGTGAGGAGGCATTTAAAGAGACAAACACCAGTTTCTCAGCAGTGAAAAACGCTTTCAGTGCATGCTCTTTTACTATTTTATTTTACTGCACAAGTATTCTTTTTATTAGTTATGTTCGCTCAGTAATCGCTTCTCCACAAATTAAGGCCTAAAAAGGTCTTAAATTCATAAAGTCATGCATTAAATGTTGCATGCACTGCAACAAAAAAATAAGCGTCTTCCAAGCTATTTGTGTTTTCCAGTACAAATATCTAAACATCCTCAAATCACGATACATTTTTTTGTACATTGTTTCCTGAGAAACTGAACAAAATGAGTGATTGCTTGAAACAAGAACAAATATCTGCCCATAAGGAAATAAAAATGTCTTATTTTAAGTAATTTTGTAAATGCATCTTGTATTTAAGAATCTTTACACATTTGCACTGGAAAACAAGACACAAATACTGAGGAAGAGCATCCGTTTTTTGCAGTGAGATCAGAAGTACAGTTTTAGTGTTTGAGATCAGAGCTATTCAAGCCTTAAACAGTTTTTTTTAAATGAATTCAAAAGTAATGGTGTATTTTTTTTAAACTTTGAAGCATTCTAATACAAGACATTTACATTTAGAGACCATATTAATGTTTAACTTATTCCTTAAATTTTTTTGTTTGGTTATAAAAAGGTCTTTAAAAAGTCTTAAATTCACCTTAATAAAACCTGCAGAAGCTACTTCTAATACTTAGCAATTTGCTCATCAGTTTTGAATCCTTACTCCTATAAAGTCTTAAAGGGATCATATGATGCTGCTAAAAAGAACATTATTTTGTGTATTTGGTGTAATGAAATGTGTTTATGCGGTTTAAGGTTAAAAACCACATTATTTTCCACATACTGTACATTATTGTTTCTCCTCTATGGCAACTTTACAGATCTTCTTTATGCACCAAGAGCTTGTAACACTCCAAAGAGAAAGGAAAAATTTAAATCGCATCATATGACCCCTTTAAGCCAAAATGTGACGTTTTTAAGCAGTGAGAGTTTTACTTGGCTAACAATGGACAAACACATCCTTGCATTACATTAATGAGGCCAAAATGCATGTTTTGATCCAGAAACGCATATTAAGTTGCAATAATGCAGAAACAAAAATAATCAAATAATAATCAAATAATAAACTTGAAAGGAATTTGTGCTCTGCATTTCACCCATCCAAGTGCACACAGACACACACACAGCAGTGAGTAATGAACACACACACACACAGCAGTGAGTAGTGAACACACACACACACAGCAGTGAGTAGTGAACACACACACACACACATACACAGCAGAGAGTAATGAACACATACGGGGACTCTCCATAGGCATAATGGTT